TTGAAGATAAGGATAATATAGTCATTTTATTATGTTTAGTAATTATTTAGATAATTTTTTTGCCAAATCATGTATTTTGCCATGTTGTAAATTCCATTTATTAAAAAGACTTGCATTATCGTTAACTAAAATGCCACATCAACAACAATTTAACGGAAGGACCAAGTTGAGATAAAAATGGTAAACAGTAGGGACTAAATCAAGAATTTTTTGAGTTGAAGGACTAAATCAAGAATTTTTTGAGTTGAAGGACTAAATCAGGGGTCTGTATATTAGTTGAGGGACCAAAATAGGATTTTAACCAAGAATCAATGATCATAGAGCCACTAAGTTGCTGCCAATAGCACAAAAACCAAAAATGGACAAGCTTTTTGAAACACATTAAGGGCATATTTATTCATGTAAAGAGAACAATCAACAAACCATCCTAATGTTAAATTGTTCATGAACATGCATCCAACCATAAAAGTTTTTGATAGCTATATCAAGAACATTAAATTCCACCTTCATAACCCCTATATATATATGGGTCTTGTACTCTTGTAAATGTCCAGTGAAAAAAAGAATAAAAATATAATATATCTTTATATTACCTTATTTTATCTCTCTAATTTTTCTTCTTTTAATTGCTTCTTTTTTTATTTTGTAACACATTTCAGCACAAATTATCACCATTTGAATTACTATTTATGAATCCCATTCAAAGTAATGAACCACTTGAAATAAAGATATAAATTGAGGTAAAGTTTTGAAGTAAGATTTTGAGATAATTTTGTTTTTCAATTTCTTGTTTCTAATTTATTTTATAGTGTTATAACAATTTTCTTGTTTATATGTCATTTTGCACTTGTTAGAAGATCTAAATTCATTGTCCTTGATAAATTGGGTTCCAACTATTTATTATAAACTCTTGATGTGGAAAATCATTTCACTGCAATGAATTGTGAAGATTCAACTATAGAAGGGAGTAAAAGGCATCCCTTAAAAAAAGAAAATATTC